ATAAGTCATTTAGGTATTATAAATTATGTAAGCATAAATGGATATAAAAGATTAAAATAGAAATCACATGTTTAATTCACGTTAGTTTTTCATGTAAAGCTGTACAATAGAATAATGCTGGTCCAATATTAATTTTTAAAATATTTATAATATGCAATGTGTGTAATATAATGTGTAAGAAAAACTTGAGTGGCCAAAAATGATAGAATTACAATCAAGTCCATTTGTGAAATTCGATCTCCATTAAGGACAATGTCAGCTCTACGTGCTATAAATAACAAACTCTAATGACGAGTGCCAGTTTAGAATGATGCATAGAAATACAAATGCAAAAAACAATCGATTTCGATTCTCAAGAAAAAAAAAATTGATTTACCGATTGATATCCAGAAAAATCAAACGTCAATGACAATTTTCCTCTCGACAACGGTACGAAAGAGGGACTATAACAATTGCTTTGTCAAAATGAAAAAAATGCCACAAATTAATTAAAAAAATATTTTATTTTACAAAATATTTTACATATTAACAAAAAAAAAAAAAAACATTTTCATTAAACATAAAAAATATTTTAGTTTACAAAATATTTTACATACTTAAAAAAAACACATTTTCATTAGACATAAAGAATTCTCTAGCATTTTTGTAGCGTTAAAAATTAAACTTGCTGAAATTATACATATATTCCACAGTCTCTATTAAAGATATGTGGGATTATCAGAATTATTTTTGCGATAAAATCGGCGACACGTTGTCGAGTACAACTGGGAAAATTTGAGCGAGCAATTAAATTACGAAAGATCAATAATCGATAGTGGAATCAAAGCGCAAGCGCGATTTCTCTGGATCTCAAAGGCTCTCTCGATTCGCGTTTATTTCCAGATCCCCAATCTTTGCCAGCGGTAATCTATTTTTATCGTCGACTCGCGTACGTAAACGTGAACGCTGTCTTTTGAAAGGAAAAACAGTTAACCTCAAGAATTAAAAAAAAATCTTGACAAGAAAAATAAACAAAACCTCGCTCGTGAAGCTTTTTCTCTGTCACTTTGTTACAATAGCATTTTCACAATGATAACAAGCCAACATAATCGCGTCTCGACATTATTGGTAGCCTCGCTAATATTTACAACACACGCAAAAAGTAATAAATTTTTCATAAAAAAATATTAAGTATACAAAATAATTTTAATTAATATTAATAATATTAAAATAAAATATAATTTTAATAAAATAAAATAAATTTTTAATTAATATTAATAATATTAAAATAAAATATAATTAATATGAAAAAGTTTGCGAGGGAAACGTGATGATGCGAAAATTAGCGATCGACGCGATATGTTATAATCTAAAGATTGAACGGAACAAAATATTATATCGAAGCGCACTTGACGTACACATTGAATAACGGCGATAACACGATGGTTCTCGCCGATTATCCTGCAGCCGTTATCAGATAAGATAACGCGGCTGCGTGCGATATCGAACGGCGGCGACAATATATTATATACTCAGCTGTTTGATTTACGTCATTGCATCTGGTCTCGAAAACATTAGGCAGATTCCACCAGGTCGTTACCCTTGAAGATTTATTATTTACGGACAATCGAGAAACATTCGCGTTTCGACTGAAAGCCTCGCGTGTTTGGTTTGGACGATCCCTTGTTTACGGAAGATTTCGACATCGATAAGTCGCGCGCGAGTGGAAGTTTATAAATACAAAATTTCGCAATCCAATTATTTATCAGCATTATTACCGTGACATTGCACAAGGGAGCTCAAACATAGAGAGAGAGAGAGAGAGAGAGAGAGAGAGAGAGACTCGCGTGAGAAAAGTATACATCTGCCTAAAGTGTACTCAAATACAAGTGAGTAAATATTATTCTCTTTTTTTCTTTTTTCTTCGCTTTTTCGCGCGATCTTGGAAAAAAACCCTCGGGGGATCTTCGCACGTCCCGCGAATGTTAACCGTAAACACCGCTCTCGAGGATCGGAGATTAGAAAGTGGTCCGAAGCGATGTCGAAATAACGGTCGATGAGCAAGGTCACCGTGCCGCTCGCGCGCAGAGTTAGGTCACGTTAGGTTAGGTTATAGAGCTTACGCGACACGTCGTCATCGTCGTCATCGATCGTCAATGAGCCCGCCGGCGTATCCGCCAGCGCGAAAAGTGAGCGGCGAGCGAGAAAAGGGGGCACGCTACAGTTATCCCGGCGAAATGTCACCGGCGGCGACAGGCGGAGGAGACAACCGGTTTTCGCCCGTCAACGTGGCATCGACGGGGGGCGGGGGCAGGGGGAGGCGCGCGGGTCGAAAAGCCTCGCCGGGGCTTCGAGGATCGAACGTCACGAGGGACGAGGGATGGAGGAGGCCGGGGGGGGAGGGAAATACGTGATGCGAACGCACTCACTCGATGTGCATCGAATGATGCGCGCGCAGCGAGTGTACGTTTCGCGTACTCCGAGTATAAACATGACGATTTAGCGAGATTTCTGCATGGAAAGAAAATAAGTGTCAAATCGAAACTCATATACTTTTTAAACTAACGCGTTTCATTGTTTCGTATTTCGCAATAATTTATAATCTTCTTAGAAGATTTTAAATTTAATAATTTTAATAAGATTTAAATTTAATAATATTTAATAATTTTGAATTTCAACAATATTGTAGTCTTATTTTAATATTGCAATTGTCATCTCAGGAATGTATAATTATTTAATTCTGCTTTAAGAAAATTATAATCTTTGATTTGAAAATGTTATTTTCTATTTAACATTGTTTTTTTTTTTCAAGAAAATTAAATCTTAAATCATAAGAAATATATTCTTCTCGATTGAACCATATAAAATGGCTTCATTCAAGTAAGCAATTATTCGAGCAATTATATTTTTCTTTAATTAACAATATAATCTCATTTCGAGATTTCCATGTTAAAACTAAATATATTTTCAAAACAAGAATGTTCTTTTTTTTCTGTGCGGCTCGAGGAATTTTTCGAGACGACACTTTGTCCGATTCTCTTCAATGAATGACGTTATCTTTCTTTTTGGAAGGAGGATTGATTTGATCGATCGATTCGAAGAGATCGCGAAACGATATCTCGTTCGAGTGACATTAAAATGCGCTCTTTCGTAAAGAAACGGCGCTTATCAGTTTGACGATCAAAAATCACATGCGTATGTTTTTCCTCTTTTTTTCGCGAAAGAATTTAATTCCAAGCAACGCTGTGGGCGGAGATAATTGCTACTGCCATTCGCGCGATCTCTTTCCCCCGTCGTCGGTTCAACGTTCGCGTTTGCATCTCGTTAAAGAGCGCGGACAAAGCGAGGTTAATCGCGCGAGACGCGACTTTGTATCGCGTTCGTGACGTGCGGAAGGGAATCGCCGAACGGCGACCACGGCCAACGCTTGTTACGCCGCCGGCCACTTCGCGAGGCGATCTGTCACCCGGCTGTCATCCCGACATCGCTTATCTCGCGTTAACGCGACGCTCCGTGCTCCCGAAACGCGGGAGCCTTCGCGGGATTCGTTCGTTATTGAACGAGCGGCCACGACCGTCTCATTCATCGGGTATAAATACAACGACGACGACAGAGGCGGCGGTGGCGGCGGCGGCAGCGTGACGTCACCTGATTGGACACGTCACGACATGGCAACTGAATGTATCTTTTGGTCGTCCCATCACGTGCTCGACGTACGTCTCTTTGTACGCGTTTGGACGCCGATCGAGGGCGAGGGGGGGGGGACGGACGGAGGGTGAGGAGGGAGAAGGAGCGGAGCGAGGACACGAGGGAGGACGTTAGCTTGGTTTTAGCGATCTCCCGAGCTACGCGTACGTCGATCCATCGCACACGCGTGTGCGTGCGTTGCCTTCTCGCGCCAGATGGCCACGAACGATGGCTGATGCGATGCCGCGCGCGCCCAGCCCTGCTCTCCCTCTCTCTATCTCTCTCTCTCTTTCTTTCTTTTTCTCTTTCTCTCTCCTCGACGCCTATTTATAGCGACGACCGATAAAAACGCTGCCCGCTAAAAAATTACGCCGACCTAGCTACCATCGTGCGTGTCGCGTATACTCGGTCGAATTGCTCTCGGGGCGCTTTTTGCTTCGCTTTTTGTAACGCGCGAGCTCTTCCGCGGATCGACTTTTAAAGAGAGAGGCGACGTAAAATGTCGGGGAAAAACCTAGCAGCCGCTGTGTTTCGTTTGCGGCGAACACGTGTCATATTCGATGCTTCGACAACCGTCAATTCTCGGTGATTTTTATTCCAGAAATAACTCGGCGGAATTTATTTCCCGAACGCGAGAAGGAACTTTGATTACCCCTGAAAGTTGGAGAGTCAATTTCCTGTCCTCGAAGAGATTAGTTTTAACGTCTTCGGCGAGAGTGATAATGGATGCTCGACAAGCTCGCATTTTACACTTTTTGTCGAGTACTTTTGACTATTCGTTTTATCGAGTTCTCATTTTAAAACGATTGCACAACAATTGAAAAATTCCATTGCGACGCATTTTCCTTAACCATTGGACATCACGATAACGCGGCCGATGATTGATGATTCGTTTTATGAATGAAACACGTAAACAAGTTGTATCTCGTATCTGTAAATGTAATCTTAATACGAACAATCGATTTTCTCGAGGTCTTTGTAATAAATTGCGTTTGAAAATATACCCTATAACAACAAGCGATAAAAAGATTACCGCTCGTAAACACTCGCATAAATTTGCAAAGATAATTACACAAAAATAGTCCAATTTTTACAATCCCTAACCTTATTGGAGGATAAAAAAAAAAGTCGCTCCGAGTCTCTCGATCTAATCGAGCAAGACGAAAAGACAAACCGATAAGAGAGTCGAAGCGCGCGTTTTATTCCGCTCTAAACCTCGTACAGGTAATACAACCTTCTCGCCTGGTCGAGTTCCCAGAAAACGCTACTCGGAAGACGCTCGTCGGAGCAAGGATCGCGATTGATAGGTGGCTGCGATCGAGAAGACGACCTACCGTCATCGATCGTTGCGCGTCTGAACGCGAGCGCGTCCCAGAAGCAGGGGAAGGACTCACCGTTGGCCTTGAAGGTGGTGGCCGTCTCGAAACTGGGCGCTCTCACCGGGTGCTTCTCCTTGTTCCTGTCCTGGACGTAGCTGACGGCGAGGCTGACGGCCGGCAGGGAGTCGCCGCGCGTCAATGGCGGCCTAACCGGGTGCTGCTCCTCCAGCGACAGCCTCTTCTCGGTGTGCTCGTCCTCGTCGATGGCGGAGATGCCGCGCTTGAGCTGGGTGATGCCGCGATTGTGGCTGAGGTTCACGTGATGCGCGACCAGATGGGCGTTGGGCAGACGCACGTTGTTGCTCCTCATGCCGTTGGCCATCTCGTGGCCGGCCTCCTCGGCGCCGTGTTGACGGCCGATCTGCTGCTGGGCCGCGGCCGCGGCCGTCCCGGAGTTGAACTCGGTGATGGAGTTCCGGTGGTGCAGCTGCGAGTAGCCGGCGATGTTGTGGTGACGCGAGTGGGTCTGGCCGGTGTTCTGGATCGGCAGGACGTCGAGATTGGTCCCGCCGTTGTGCTCCGTGTGACCGGCGGCGGTGCGATAGGTCTTGGAGGCGGACGGCCTGGCGTCCTGGAAGCCGTACGCCTTCTTGAGCTGCTTGGCCGACTCGAGCACGAGGTCGATGCGGTCGGCGCCCTCGTAGTTGACGCAGCCGCGGCACACCGGCTCCGAAAAGTCCATTATCATCGCCCAGGGCATTCTGGGCAGGTCGCACAGGTAACACTGCGTTCGCTTGCCCATCATCTTGCCGCCGAAGGAACCGCCGCTGCCCGCTCGCTGATGACGGATACTACGATCGTCGTCGTCGACTCTACGTCGTTCCATCGCTTCAAGCTTCACATCCACCGTTCAATTATCCCGGCCGCTTTTTCCCTATCTCTCTCGCTCTCCCGCGTCGGTCCAGAATACCTCGCTCTACTTCCTTCCCTTCTCGCTCGCCGCAAGACGACTCTCTCTCTCTCTCTCTCTCTCTCTCTCTCTCTCTCGCCTCTTCCGCTCGGATCACTCTGCCACGCTTCTGCGAAGCGAGGATCGATTCCGACCGTGCAAACTACGAGCCTCCGGCGCACTGCTCGTCCGAGAAATAACCGCCGCTCGAAATAACGACGACGATAACGTCAATTGCCTCTCGTCTCGCGCGCGCTCCGTCACCACGGCTCGCGGGCACATGAGCCGCGAGAGGACCGGACCAACGAGAGGCCGAAGCGACGCCCGATCGGACGCTCCGATTCTCGTCTACGCGTCGAGTCTACGGTCTGTTCGAAAGGGCGGGAACACTCGCGAAGGAGAATACGATACTATCTATATACCCCGTGTGTATCTTCCACTGTGTACGTCCCGCGCGCACCGGGAAAGGTAGCGGAGCACAATGGCCGTCGCCGTCGCCGTCGCCGTCGTCGTCGTCGTCGTCGTCGGCGTAATAATAAACGCGTGCAACTCGCCTCTCCTGGCCTCTCTCCTCTCACCCGAGGGCGAACCCCGTTGAACACGAGAAACGAACACGCGAAACGAACACCGACCGATATACGGATATGCGCGCGGCAGGACGTGCGCTCGTCCGTCTGGCTGGCTGGCGTACGAAGGGACGAACGTTCGGAGAATGCGGCGGTAAAACCGAGGCTACGACACCGTCGTTTTTCCCTTCTCCCAATCTCTAGCCCCGTCTTCCTCGATACGGTACTTTTCCCTATCTCCCTCTCTCTCTCTCTCTCTCCGTCTCTCCTCGCCCGCCCGCCCGCGCGCGCCTCGCTTCGCGTCCGCTCGGCCCCGCTCGGCTCCCGATCCCTCCCCACCCTTCCCCCCTCCATCTCCCGCTCATCCCGTTCCCATTACCGAATCCCCGCTCGTTCGTTTGTTCTCTCTCCTTCTTTCTCTCTCGACTGAGCCATTGCCAAGTCGTCGTCCCCCCCTCGTCTCTCCATCCCCCCGGATCCCTCTCGGTGAAACAGCTACGACGCAGCCGACGACGACGACGACGACGACGACAACGACAACGACAACGACGACGACGGCAACGACGCGCTCGGCCAATCGGGCGTTGTGGCGTCATGGTACGTGACGTCATAATGGCAAAGCTGCGCATGCGCGCTACGGAGTGCCCTAGGGGGACACGTAGGCAGCGACCGGGATTCGAAGTGCGAAACACGAGGGGAGGTGGGGGACGGGATCCGAGGGAGTCTGCATACTGTGCTCGCGCGCGCGCGCGCGCGCGCGTTTACATCAACCCGACGCCCACTCTTCGTAATAAGCGGCCGGTTTTACACTCGCGAAAACGAGTCGGTCGAGTCTATCGAGAGAGAGAAAGAAAACGGTATGTTCTGTACCCGTCCTCCCCCGCATCGACGATTTTCGTCGATATCCGACTTATTTGAGAAATGTCGCGATGAAAACAAGTCAATGTCGAGTTTTTTTTTAATTTTTGCGATTATCGCGAGGGCTTTTGCTTTTCGACGAGTAAATGGGCGAGCGATTGATACATTTATAACGTTTGGCGGGATAAATAAATAAATAAATTTCCGAATAAATCGTTGAGATTGTTTAAGGATGTTTTGTACCTATTTTCAAAATATTGAGAATTAAATGAAAATTGTACAGAATGTCCTTGCATATGCTTAGAATCTTCAGTACAATTTTTAAATCGATTCATTAAAGCGTTCACAAGTTATAAGGATTTTAATTTGCACCGAAATAACATGTGTTCTTATGGGAAACGTATAACCATGTCGATTCAAATATCAAAGACACATGGAAATAATATTCAGAATTTGTTTAAAATTCCTGCGATTATCGCGAACGGGGTTTTTGCTTTTCGACGAGTAAATAGGCGAACGATTGATAAATTTGTAACGTTTGGCGGAATAAATAAATAAATAAATTTCCGAATGCCAAAGCGTCGAGAATATTTAAGGATGTTTTGTACCTATTTTCAAAATATTGAGAATTAAATGAAAAGTGTACAGAATGTCCTTGCATATGCTTAGAATCTTCGGTACAATTTTTTAATCAATTCATTAAAGCGTTCACAAGTTATAAGGATTTTAATTTGCACCGAATTAACATGTGTTCTTATGGGAAACGTATAATTACCTCGATTCAAATGACAAAAACACATAGAAATAATATTCAAAATTTATTGGAAATTCGCAAAAGTTTAGATACAGAGGAAATATTTGGTCAAATAATATTATACAAGTACTAACTGGTTAAAAAGATATTAAATATAATTTAATTCTGTCACAAGGCGAAATTCTCTGTCAAAAGTTAATCATTTCGATTAACAAATTCGGAATATTTCAGTAAAAACGCAATAAATATTAAAAAATACATCTGCACTGTAGCTAAGAATCAAATTATAATATTCTACACAATTTCTCATACTCAAAATACATCAAAAGTGGATATTCGTCAATATTGATTTTCGGCTACCTTTTGCTGGGATTGTACATACAAAACATCCTTAAAAATTGTTCACGGATGAACTCGAGTATTTTTATCGAGCGACATTACTCGATAATAACTCGACGTAATGGCATCATCGGATACGCAATGACGCTGTCATTGTTTACATGAAAATATCTTTGTACGAAATGATTCACGTACGTTATTTTCCGCTAGTTATTTCTATACAAATTCTCTCTTTTTGAATGAATTTTTTTTCCTATTTGATTCACAAGAAAAATTCGAGTTGAAGAAATGATTGCGTCATAAAACTTTTGACACTTGACACTTTGTTACGTATTAATATTCGAGGAAAAGCTCGTCGCGAACGTGTCTCCCTGGCTCTGCTCTAATCTCCATGGCATAAACAATGGTCGTTATTATCGTAGCACCCGCTGAGTCGACGGCGCGCGAATGGCGCGTTATTTTATCGGTTTTTCTTAGCGATAACACGTCCAACGATAGCGCGGTCGATAGGAATACCGAGGTGTAGGTGCACGAATGTATTATCGTCAGTGTTATCGCTATGAAATGACATATGCGCTAAGCGCTATGTCAACCTTTCGGTTTGAACAGTTCAGTTTTCAAAATTACCATGTACAAGCTCTCTAATTAGCTACATTTCCAAGTTGCACCGCGACTCGTAATTACGATGTAATTCATAATAATTACAGCATCGCTAAGTAATTTATACACTGAGAAAAAAAAACCGATGAAAAGATAACGAACGGATATTATATTGATCATTTTAATCGGAAAAAAAAGAAACCGATAAAATATCCAATCGGAAAATATCGATCGATCGGACATCTGATCAGAAAGTCGGAATTTTCCGATCAAAATTCGGAATTTTCCGATCAGATATCCGATTAAAGTGATCGGTATAATATCCGTTCGTTACCTTTTCATCGGACATTTCTCTCATTTTTCTCAGTGTATATAAGCAATAAGACCCGATCGTCCAAAATCTGATGCGCGAATTCAACTTACGCACGCGCGCATCGCTGCGAAAAAATGTCTAAACTCAACTATCGCTTTCTTCCTAAATGTTTCCGCTGTCAACATTACGAGATATCTCGTCTGGCTGAGGTCTGATAATAATTTATATAACGTACGGCGCATTTCGTAACCGTGTGCTATATTAAAAGCCGCGAGAAATCTGTATCGGACGCAGAAATAAACTGTTTTCGAGCCGAAGCGAGCGATGATTGGAGATCTGTTTACGTCTCGGTTATTTACATAACGCACTGATAATACGTTTACATCATATCTCGAATCATTACACGCCCGTTAATAACGCTAAGGAATGCTCGCTAACGACAGAATTGCGGCAATCGTCGATTACGTCGATGGTTGCGTGTTTACGAATGAAAGGAAAAGAAGAGAAAAACGAAGGAAACGTGCGCAACGTTACAACACGATGACGTCACGTGTAATTTGGCGAACATTGTCGCGTCGTGTCGCGGGGTCTCTGCATATGTCGTGTGCAATTTTCTCGCCAAGCTGCGCCGCATCAGGCGTCGCGCGAATGACATCAGTCTGACATCATAGTGTACAGCACGAAATCGTAACGTGAACTCTTCTTAAAGCCGAGAGCGAGAGAAGAACGAGGGAGAATGATCTTTGCCTCGACCATGGCGGGGACAAGGAGAGTATAATTAAACGAATCGGCTTATCAATTGGCTCATTCGTCTACGCTCCAGATCCGGGAAAACAAGCGTCTCTCGCCCGCGGCTCTTTCGCGCAGAATACACATTCGCGATAGTAAATTATCGATTTTTTTACTTGAAATGTAATTGTATATTATGTAAATTTTTTTCTTTTTTTCCAGAAACGTGTCGATTAATCGGAGAAAACCGTCATCGTCTTCGAGATCCCTACATCAAACAGCAGATGTAATAAATGCATAAATAAATTGCATAACAGATTAATTCTTGGAAGATTGAATAATATCTCGGCGTAACAAATAGTTGAAATCAATCTCGATAGTTTCGGCCGTTATCGAAGGCTTGTAATCTGGTTTCATCTCGAGGCAGCCTGAATCGAAGACTGAATCGGAGGTTTCATGCGGCGCAAGTAAATCGAAGAGATGGAGTGATTGGTAAATTTGACCCGACTTCCCTCTCCATCTCTCTCTCTGTCTCTTTAGATAACTCGGCCACGTGTAGTCTGTATATCACAGTGTCCTGGGGACGAAATGCGCCAAACATTATTTATCGAGCCCGGAACCAGGAATACACACCCCGGCGACGAGATAACAAAGATAGTCCACTGATGACCGGCCGCTCCTTCGCGGGAAGGAAATACGACGTAATAAAACGCCGCAATCGGCGACCCAATAATAAGTATTATCAGTGTTTTCGTTCATTTAATCAGAGATAATTTGCACCCGGATTTAAAAAAAAACTCATCGTGAATCATGCAAAGATACATGCACAGAGAAAAATATCATTCTACTGCCAAGAAAAGCGATTACTCAGTTTATTTTTCTTTTTTTAAGTAATAATTTTCTTCAATAAAGAATATCTTGATAATAATCTTAAAAATATATTACAAGTGTTAGAAAATCTCATTATCATGTACTCAAAAGAAGAATTTGTTTTCTCTTCAAGAATATTATAAAGTTGTATCAAAGAAAAATCTTATTTTACGTCAACTCTTGTAGTAAGCAAAGCAAATTTTTGTTTCAATTTAATGTACTGCACTTATTAAAATTCAGAATATATTCAATTAAATTTAATGCTTGTGGTGAACTTCTGATATACTTCAAATAAATAATATTTACTTGAATACAGTATACATTTTTCTCTGTGTGTCCATTCTGTTTTTTACATCTTTATCTCGAGAAGACTTTAGGATAAAAGTGTCTTGTTGATGACCATATTTTTACTCTTGATTGGTCGAAAATAGAATTTAATATTTTTTAAATTAAAATATGCACACGTGTGTTTGCAATACAATATATACGTCTTGAGCTCCGCATAATTAATCACCTATTTCGTCATTATCTAAAATAATCTCTCTTTTTGCTCAGGTTTTGCGCAAGAACGTCGATTGATGCGCGACGCAAAAGCCTCGGAAATTCGCGCAAGCCACGCGATGACGGCGGAAATTTCCCCGCGTCGGCGTCGGCGGATTATCATTTTCCGCGAGGTTGATAGGGCAATTATAACGCCGCTTTGCAAAATCATTTCCGGCCAATTGAGACGGCCGGTAGACGCGGCATGAGAATCACTGCAGGGCCGCTTCGACAAGCGCAGCTGTAAATCGAAGAAGCCGTCTGGCTTCTAATTTTATTGCGCGACAGAATGGGAATGAATCTCGGCGCTGCAGCCGAGTGCATTGGATTTTGCCTCTCTTGTAAAGGGCGATATTAAAATCTCCAATCTGCGGATCGTGATTCGCCTGTCTGTGCAGCTTCCCGGGACTCGGTACATTGCTCTGACATAAAAGAAATTCATTGCGTTTCAGACGGGACACAGACCTATGCAGTATTAATAGGCTACATCCGAAGAAACGTTTTCTTTCTAATAATTTTTAAATAATATCTGAAATTTATGAATGACAGATTGTACGTCTGGATCGATGAAAGAAGTAAACGCTCTTTGCCGCGGAAAAAAAATTCATTGCGTTTCAGATGTGATGGGACACAGACCTATGTAGCATTAATAGACTACATCCGAAGAAACGTTTTCTTTCTAATAATTTTTAAATATCTGAAATTTATGAATGACCGATTATACGTCTGGATCGATGAAAGAAGTAAACGCTCTTTGCCACGTGATATTTAGAAACACCGATTAAATATACATAAACAAGCGCGATAAAAACCATGAAAGTAACATTTCCTGTCCTCGATCCGACCAAAGTCCGAGATGTATTTCAATGGAAAGGACGCGTATATCGTTTTCTCGGTTTTGTTGCACGATCGAACGTAATATAATCAATTACTTTAGTTAGATCTCTTCTATTCTCGTCTTAAAAGCTTCGTTGCCCTATTTGTATCTCTTGGCCTTTGATAACGATCTCTCGCCGGAGAATGAAAGATTGTCGATAAATGAGAATAAAAGGCAAATGTGCGGACAATCGCCCTTGTTCGATTCTCGCTTACGCGAGAATCAGACGCGGCGTAAATTTTCGCCGACGAGGCGAATCGATTCGACACTTTGAATTCGCGATGCAACGCATCCGGTGTCACGCGATCCAGATCGACGTGATTATTACGTAACATATTTGCCTTTCTTCCCGGAAAGACCAACATCGGAATTACAAAATTTCAATCCCGGATCTCTCTATCAAACTTTTATTTTTTAATTGCACGAAATATTTTATATATTTATATAAAATAATATCTCGTAAGATGAACTTTTATCGATGAATATTATTTTCTTTTTTTCGTACATTTTTAATTTTGTAACGCGTAATGGAATTTTTGATATCAACGAAAAGATGATGTAAATCTTTAGTAAACAGCAATGTTGATTTAAGGTTAAATGACAAGTCCTTTTCTCCTGATCTCATAAGTCAACGAAAGGTAAGATACGATGGCATAATCACGTTGAGAAAGCAGTTATTTGCAGCTTGTGACGTAAGAAATATCGGTTATTTGCAACTAAGCTCTTTAAATCGCTGAAAATCGCAAAATAGGGCAAGATGCGAACGCGTATCGCATGACCGATAAGATTTCAAAAAATTGCTCGTTATTTACAGAAAAATCAAAAGCTGTTACTTTATCGTCATGCGACACTCAGCGGTATTTGATAAAAATTATACTATCGCTTATAACCAGGGAAAAAAAGAAAGAGAAAGACGGCAAAATAACCCTATTTATCTTGCAAAGAAGATGCGTCTGTATCAATCGAAATAAAAAATGTGATTAAATTGATTTGGTGTATGTATACACACACACACTTGAATATTTAATCAATTTTACTACATTTTTCGTGAGGCAAGCGTAATTTTTTTGCATCTTATGTAAAAGTACATATCTGAAAAATATTTTTAATTTTTAATATAATGTATAATATTTAATACAATAATATATATTTAATATTCATATTTATATAATATTATTATAATATTATAATATTAATATAATATTTATGTAACATTACTATAATATTTATTTAATATTAATATAATATTTATTTAATATTAATATAATATTAATATAACATTTTTAATTTTTAATATAAATATAAAATATAAGAAAAAGCGAGATATATAATAAAATTTTGAAAACTGATTATTTCGTGACGTTTCGCGCGCAAACTAATTTTATGCAGGTATTACTCCGGTTTCTTTATTCCGTCCCGCAACAAAGGGATCGCTTGTACTTTCTCGAGCGTAAGTCAGGCTTCGGCCAGCTCGTCGCTTTACGTGCTCGCCCCAGAGTATATCTCGTATATCTCGTGACGTCACCCCGGCGCGATCCGGCAACATCGCCGCGGCGAAGCGACGTGCGACGTTGCCGGCTCGCTCGCGCCAGGGCTCTCGCCGGAAATTCGGGACGTCTGGGCTTCTTCTGGACCGTTGTGATTTCCGCTGGCATTTCTTTCGTCACGCACTCGTGCACGCGCGTACGCAAGGCACGCATCCACGATGACGAACGTGATTTTACGCGGATAGACTTTCGAGAGGCCATCGCGTACGCTCGATATGGCGCGGCATAACGTAATGATACAAAGATGAAGCGCTATTTAAATCGCGTCAGCGTGCTTTTTCCACCGCTTCAGCGGAAACATTCACTTTCGCGAGCGCGTCATCTTGGGGAACCAGAGCCGTTAATTAGCCGTTAATAGAGACGAATAAATAATTTTAAACGCTAGGATTAATAGTCGGGAATTTGGCTCGAATTAAATAAAAATTAAATCAAAAGTATTTAATTTTTTAAATTAAATTAAATTTGTAATTTTTTTTAAGATTTAATTTTCTTTAGTTTTAAACCCGGTTCAGAGGAGTGGAACATCTAGAAATTTATATTATTCTCAACTACTAGAGAAATTGAAGAAAAATATCATCAAATTCCTATTTTAATTAAATAGTATGTTTTTAATGCGTCGATATTGGCGAAGGATAAATATAATAAAGAGCCTCGAGAGAAGCGACTATCCCCTACTGCAAACAGTCGCGATGCTCCAATTCCGCGTCGATTCGTCGTCCATCAATTCTCGTAAGGGAATACGGAAAGTCGTGCGAGAGGGGAAGGTCCGCGCTCCTCCGCGTCTGAATCGGGCTTTACGCTCGCGTAATCGTAGAACGACGGGGACGAGCGGCGGCGGGTGTAGCTGGGAACGGATAATATCGTTCTGTCACGTCACATAGTGCGCGCGAACCGGCCGCCGCGCCGGAGAAAATCAATCCGCGGCCGCTACTAACCTTCCCGCGGAAAAGCGGCGATGGAGCGCACCTACTAACCGCTCGGCGAACGTCGCGCGAGGATCCCCGCGATATTGACCCGAGATTGCGTTAGGTTATTTCTCCGGGGAGGGAAAGGGGTTCATGCACCTCTTTTCACGCGGAACGTTTGCATTTCCGCGGAAACGCAATCTTCCACCCACCCTACTTTCTCTTTCTCTCTCCTTGACATTTTTCTTGCTTTCGAGTCTCTCGGTCTCTCTCTCTCCTCGCTCCCAGCGTGGACCCGCACGATGTGTCATTTCGAATATTGGCCTTCGAGCGTGTCCTTGGCCCCGTATCGGTTGGCGTAACGATCGAGCGCGCGAAGGATACAGCGCCCGTTCGGCTCGCTCGCTCATTCATTCGTTGGCTCGTAGCTGCTCGCGCGTTTACGAAATCCGTAAGAGTTAACGGCCGCTCCGAAATAGAGGCTAGCCCCGTACCGTACGTTACGTAGGATCGTCTCCCTCCTTGCGTCCCGCCGGCCACTCTGCGGTTCTTTACCGCAGCTACATCACGGATTCGCGCACATCGAACACACCTGTGCTTTCCCTCCCCTCAAACTTTCAGATATACTGTGTTTTTGCGTTGTATTTTATTTTCTAACATTCTTTAGAAATCCGTTTTCTCAGAATCGTAAATCTTTCATTGCGTCGTTTTTGACCACCTGTGGAGAATTTAGAAATCTAGCTTCCCAGTGATACTATTGTCTAGTGAGATTTAAAATCCAGTTTAAAAATCCGTTTACAGTAATACTGTTGTCTAGTAATAGTCGCTTTGTACACGCTTTTTACACGCTTTGTACATGTTCGTTGAAAGAAATTGAAAAGGAAAAGAATACATTCATTGTGAAGAGAATGTTAAAGTTTTATTGTATTTTCTGAGGATAAATTGTGTGTCTTAAATGCAAGTATTTGTATACGACACTGAGAAAAATGTCCGATGCAAAGGTAACGAACGGATATTATACCGATCACCGGATATCTGATCGGAAAGTTCCGAATTTTGAACTTTCTGATCAGATATTCGATCAATCGATATTTTCTGATTGGATATCTGACCGGTTTCTTTTTTTTCCGATTAAAGTGATCGATACCTTTTCACCGGATATTTTCTCAGTCATATTTTACTTGTTTATTCGATAACTGGTGATAAAAATGCTATGGAGATTAGGGTTTTTGTATACTTTATCGCGTAATATTTTAAGTATAAGGAATTATAAACGATCATATAAGAGTATAAGCTTTCTCTGTATACTGTATAATCTAAAAAAAATTATAATTATAATTTTAAAAGACGTGCAGACTGTCATATTATCTTTGTTTATTGTATTTTCTTAGGATAAATTATGTGTCTTAAATGCAAGTATGTGTACACGTACAATATTTTACTTGCTGTTTATTCGGTAACTGGTGGTAAAAGTGCTATGGAGATTAGGGTTTTTGTATACTTTATCGCGTAATGTTTTAAATATAAGGAAATAATTATAAACGACCATATAAGAGTATAAGCTTTCTCTATATTGTATAATTTTAAATTATAATTTTAAAAGATCGGCCGACGTGCAGGCTATCATATTATCTTCGTTGTATTTTCTTAGGATAAATTCTATGCCTTAAATGCAACTATGTGTATACATACAATATTTTACTTGTTGTTTCGGTAACTGGTAAAAGTGCTGCTATGATGATTAGGATTTTTGTATACTTTATCGCGTAATGTTTTAAATATAAGAATTATAAATAATCATATAAAAGTATAAGCTTTCTCTATATTGTATAATCTTAAATTATAATTTTAAAACATCGTGCAGGTTGTTATATTATCTTTGCGAATTTTAAATAGACAGATAACTTTAACGTATGTTTCTCTGACATCACAACTTTTGTTATTTCACGCAAGATGTGTACCTGAAGAAGGGTCTGAAAACATGATTCTTACCTGCTAATCCATATTCATAGTCCAAATAGTTTTGGGTAAGAAATTTGAGGAGAGAAAATTACTATAAAAATTTTCAACTGATATTTTTAATTTTTTCTGTTTTTTAAGAGAGTATTATTTGAAAGAAAGCACAATTATTTAAATAAAATAATGATAATTATTTTATTTTGATTCCGAAATTAAAAAATAAGCTAGATGTAAAGATGATTTATTTCAAAGATCAATAATTTAAAAATCTGCAAAAGATACACAGAAAAAATAAATGTCAAATCAAAACTTATATATTTAAACTAACGCGTTCAATCTTCTTAGAAGAATTTAATAATTGTAAATTTTAACAATATTATAATCTTATTTCAATATTGTAATTATCATGTCAAGAATATATAATTATTTAATTCTACTTTAAGAAAATTATAATCTTTGATTTAAAAATGTTATTTTTTATTTAACATTGCTTCTTTTCCATTCAAGAAAACTAAATCTTAAATCATAAGAATATATTTTTCTCGATTGAACTATATAAAATGATTGAACTATATAAAATGACTTCATTCAAGTAAGCAATTATTCAAGCAATTATATTTTTCTTTAATTAATATAATTTCATTTCAAAATTTCCATATTAAAATTAAATATATAACAAGAATGTCCATTTTTTCTGTGTAACTTTTAACATATGTTTAACACAATCACGCTTGAGAAATTATCTAAAAATTTATAAAAATCAAACATTGACGGGGTCGATTCATGAAAAAAAGAAGAAGCGTCATAATTTCGAGAATTTTCGAAAAAAAAAGAAGCAACGGTATTCAATTTTTATCGTTCCCCAAGTACAATGCACGAGGCGCAATGTCCAGCCGCCCACGTCGCGGCCATAAAGAGAAGAGCAGCGAATCGCTAACTAGGATTAATCAAGCCGCAGACTGTCGGTGCGAGACTCGCCCTTTAGCCGTCGTCTCGTTAATAGACACGTCGCGGCACAAAAGGCCGCGCCGGCAATTTTCGAGTTTGCCGGACGAGAAAACCGGCGCCGGTCGTCATTGTGATGGTAACGGTCGCTCGACAGGGCCTGGCATCGCGTAGGTGTGTATCCTTTAAACTTTAAATCGACGACGGACCCCGGGCCCCCCCCGGACGCTCGACCCAATTCAACGCTGGCCGCTGATAACGGTGACGTCACGGTGTGCTCTACTCGTTACTAGTCACGGATCGCGGTACGTGACGAGCGCGATGACGAGCGTGACGATAATAACACCATCGCGTACTACGTTTAAGCGTTATGTTAACCCGCTCTCGTGACACGCTTTTCGCCGGCTCGTTCCCGCGGCGATTGACACTCAACATCACGAAACCCGATACGTCCGTGTCTATAAACCGCGTTTAAATAACGCCTCTCGGTCCCTGCTACACAATACGTATTCATGAATTCGTGTCGTCGTGTAATGCAGGGTTGCTTTGTTCTACGATCCATTCGCGTGCAACGTGAAAACAAGCTCGGCGACAGAGAATCATGTAACATCTATCTATT